AGAAACATAGTTATTTTAAAGTCTTTGTCAATTTGGTCCATTGAATTAATTTCATCTTGCTTTTATTACTTTTATATTGTTAATTTTCTTATTTTTTCTTATTGTTTTATTTATTCTCTCTTAGTATTAGATTCTTTTCTTTGTCTTGAAACATTAGATTTCAGACTCATTTGAAAGTTTTGTTTCCTGTTTACTTTTTCTATCTCTGATTGGGTTCAGGACTCTGTCTGAAACTTTTCAAGATGCTCCCACCTGAGCCCCCAGAACCTAGTTTCTTATTTATTCAATTAAAGTGGTACAAACGTATGAAGGGAAGGAAAAAAAAAAGATCACTTGTCTAAATAACAGAAGATCCATCAATTTCTCATTCTTCCTCAGTTGAAGCACCTTTTATCAGAGGAGGTGGTTTGAAAGTGGGTGCTATTCCTTAGTGTTTTTTGTTTGGTTGGTTGGTTTTTTGATGGCTGGCCAGTGCTGGGATCCAAACCCTTAACCTTGGTGTTACAATGCAACACTCTAACCAACTAAGCTAACCAGCCCCCTGTTCCTTAGTGTTTTAATGGGCATTCAGAGCTCTTGGGGCACCGTTTTCATCGTAAGAATCACCACAGGCAGGCGTTGTATGGCTCAGGGACTGCTCAGGAGTTTCTGATTTCTACCCCTGCCTCCTAGGCCCACCTCTCAAGGAAAGTCATAGTGCAGGGAGCAGGTCACCACTTCTGTTTGTTCGTTTGCAGCTTCCTTTCACAAACCAGTCACCTTAGTCTCTAGCTTCAGGCAGAATGCCCGACTCCATTCCTCATCCTTCATGGGGCACTTTTCTCCATCACTCCAGACCCGTGTCCCAAACTCCCACTGCAGTTCCTGGTGCCCAGCAAGTTCTGAGCTTTGGCTCAATCCTGCCTCACCCTTGGTGTTCTTGTGTATTTCTGGTCCAAGGGGATGGTTACCTTGTTTCTAATTCAACTGTGTTTTTTGTATTTTTCCTTTTATGTTTTCTCTGGAGTGAAGTAGGTGAGTCAAACATGAATTTAAGACACTAGTTTGAATGGAAATCTCAATGATCTTGTATATTTTGAAGAGCCAGCTCTTGGCTTCACTTTTTTACTATGTTATTAATTTCAGCTTTCAGCTTTAATTTGTTCTTTCTTGTGTCTTTTCATTAATTTTACTATTCTTTTTCTTAAGTATACATTGTGACGAGTATAAACTTTGTTTATTTTCAGACTCTTTTCTATAATAAGGCATTTAAGACCCATAAATTACTCTTTAAAAATAGCCTTAGGGGCCGGCCCGGTGGCGCACTGCTACAGTGCGCCGCTTGGGAGCGCGGTGGCGCTCCTGCCGAGGGTTCGGATCCCACATACAGACTGGCTGCTCACTGGCTGAGCGAGGTGCGGGAGCAACACAGAGGGTTGCGATCCCATGGCCGGTCCCGGCCGGTACGGGCGCGACACTGAGGGTTGCGATCTGTTGCCGGTCAGTAAAAAAGACAAAAAGGAAAAAAAAATTGCCTTAAATCTTTTTCTTTTTCTTTTTTTGTCTTTTTCCGTGTCCGGCAACGGATCGCAACCCTCAGTGTCGCGCCCGTACCGGCCGGGACCGGCAACGGGATCGCAACCCTCGGTGTTGCTCCCGCACCTCGCTCAGCCAGTGAGCGGGAACCGGTCTGTATGTGGGATCCGAACCCTTGGGCAGGAGCGCCGCTGCGCTTCCCAAGCGGCGCACTG